GAGCGCTCCAAGTTATCCATGCTGAGGAATGCTACATGGACGTTATCTAATTTCTGCCTTGGTAAGCCACCGACGACATTTGAGCAGGAAGAGATTGTAGAGGCTTCTGTGGGTATTGTACTAAAAGAAGTTTCCACTGTTAGCTTATCATTGTTTTTAACCATTCATTTTGTTAGCTTATAGAGCTTATGATAACAATCTTGTATTCTTTTCAGGTGAAGCCTGCTTTACCAGTTCTACGGGAACTTATTTACTTGAATGATGAAGAAGTTCTGACAAATGCTTGCTGGGCACTATCTTATCTTTCAGATGGCCCAAATGACAAAATTCAGGCGGTCATTGAAGCTGGGGTCTGCCCACAACTGGTGAAACTTCTAGGGTAAGCTTACGAGTACTCTAGAAAAACTGGAGTGCTTACAAACTTTGTTTGCATCCTTTTCTAAGTACCTTTTCAGCGTGGATATCATCCATCCTCCCACTTCAGCTACTGCCGATAGTTTTCGCTTCTGTAACATGGTTATAATCTGTATACTTTGTGGGTTTATTCTTGTTAACATTTTGACTACTAGTGGTGACCGAAATTAACTTTTTTCCAGTCATCCATCTCCTTCAGTTCTAATACCTGCTCTTCGGACTGTGGGAAACATTGTCACTGGAGATGGTAATCAGACTCAGGTACAAAGTACATTTATTCTGTTGTCTATTGTGCTTGCTATCTTTTTTTCTTTTGGATTGTTATCAATCAGCTTGAATACAAGTGTAAGAGGAAATAGTAAACAAATTACATATTCTTTTGCATGAAAAACAATTGTTGTCATGTTGTTTCTTTCTTTGCTACAAAAGCCGCAATAACTCTAGGAACATTTTTCAGTTTGTGGTTGACAATAAGGTGCTTCCTCATCTCTATCAACTTCTTGTACAAAATCACAAAAAAAAGCATCAAGAAAGAAGCTTGCTGGACTATCTCCAATATAACAGCTGGGAATAGAGCTCAAATACAGTTATAGTTTCCCCATCCGTCTTTCTTTTATGGGGATTTATTTCCTCAACATGTGCAGGAAGGGTATGATAATCCAGTCATCTTGTTTGGCTTATAAATCCGAAGTGTCGATAATTTTTTGTTGACAGCTGCTGAAGCATTGCTTGTTTGGACCGACTTCAGTTGATACTAGTTTTGGGAAATTGATCTTATTAGCTGCTCTAGTGTTCTTATTTATATTTTGTATCGACTTTCTGTGGCACAGGCAATTATTGAGGCCAGTATTATTCTCCCTCTTGTACACCTTCTTCAACATGCAGAGTTCAACATTAAGGAGGCTGCATGAACCATCTCAAATGCCACCTCTGGAGGTTCTCATGAGCAGATTCAGTCTGTCCTGCTTCCTTTCTTCTTATATTTCAGTTTATCCTTTTCGGACCCGATATTCATGCATGTTTATACAAAAAACACATAAATGCATGCAAACATCCACACATGGACTCACTTGAGAATATAAACAGATGTCCAAATGCAAAATCAGCATCAAGCTGCACACATGTACACAGATATTGATGGGACCAAGAGCATTTGGCTCCGATATCAATGGGAACAAGAGCATTTGGCTCCGGTATGAATGGGAACAAGAGCTTTTGGCTTACTTTACTAAATTAGTTAGTTAATGGCGTAATGAAGGCAATCATTGTATTTATTTTTTCTTTCAATTTATTTCATCATAATATGATGACAAATCATGTCAGTTTTTGGTCATGAATCTAGTTTTAACAAGTGAATAACAGCTACATTGTACATGCTTTTTATGGTAATGTGTAATGAAAATGTGGTCCTTATTTCAGTAATCTTTCACTATATGGTCCTTAATCATATGCATGTAAGACAGAGAGACAGTCTTGCTTGAATGTGGCAAACCTCATATGATATTTTATTTTGCAGATTCCTTGTGGGTCAAGGTTGCATTAAGCCTCTGTGTGACCTACTACTCTGTCCAGATCCATGGATTGTGACCGTGTGTCTCGAGGGGCTTGAGAACATTCTGAAGGTCTGTGAGGCCGATAAAGATATGGGAATGAATGATGGAATCAATCTTTATGCAGAAATGATCGATGAATGTGAAGGGTTGGATAAAATTGAAAACCTTCAAATTCACGACAACCATGAGATTTACGAGAAGGCTATGAAGATCTTGGAGAGATACGGAATTGAAGGGGAAAAAGACGAACAGAATCTCCGGGATGGTGGGAATGAAAATCAGCAAGGCTTTAATTTTGGAGTTAACCAGAAGGCCAATGTTCCACGGTGGCTTCAATTTTAGATGCTGTGTTTAGTTGAAGAACTTGAGCCATAGTTTTGTACGTCTACTTTCATTGCAGTGAAAATTTTGGACTTGTATGTTCTCATTTTCGTCCATCATTGCTGCGAAAGGGGTCGGTTTTTGTTCCGGCGTGTAGGATTTTGCTGTCTCCTCTCTTCATTGGGGATGTGTTGAAAGGGTTTAGAAGGTTGGTTTGTATTTCAATATTTCCGTGGATTGCTTGTGATTTGTGGTAAATCTCTTGCGCCAAAGGCGTCCATTATGAACCCTGTTTGTCCTGTTTTGAAGTCGCGAGTTCCATTAGGCAAATTAAGAAGCCATTTATTTTGTTTTGGCATAATACCAAAATTAGTCCCAACGTTTACTAAAATAGTTATTTTGCTCCTTATTTTTCTTTTGGAGCATTTTGGCCATTAGTTTTTCATTTTAGGGCAAAAAAGTCATTCAATAGATGAAAATCGTTAACTAATAAATGGTTAATGCTCTAAAATAATTTTGTTTTATCTTAAATTAAAATGTTGGAGGGTCAAAATGCACTAGAATAAGGATCAAATGTTAGGAGTTAAAATACTAAAAAAAAGAACAGGGATTAAAATGACAGTTTAATAAACGCTAAGGGGCTAATATTGGCTTTTGTTTTGTACTGCATACGTTTCCTAATTTGCCTACTTACCGGCAAAATATCTCAGCATCTTATGTTAGTTTGCAATTAGATTTGAACCCCATTAGAGGAGGGTTAATTTATGAGCTCGTTGCTGTAAACAAACAAGGATCGTCTGCTGGATTCAGCCAACAAACAAGATTTCAAGAGAATTTAAGTTTTTTTTTGCTTCATTTTAATTTTCTTTACCTATTTTTTAAAGTAAAATTATTTATTAATAAAAATTAATATAATTTTTGATAATTTATTTCAATATAAATAACTCATAATTAATATTAAACATTTATTTAGTTTTAATAAAAAATAAATGTAAATATATTTTAATGTAATATTTTAATGAATGTTATATTTTCACTTGATTGTCATCATGTAATAAATTTGAATGCACATCTCATCGCAAATTTTAATCTTAAAATCGTTATTTTTAGAGCTACTTGTATCTTGAGGGATCTAAAAAAACATGGATGAAACAAACATTAGGTTAGGGTTTTGATTTGCGGAAAAGAACATTACTACGGAGAATAATCTTTTATGAAATTACATTTCCATTTTTGATTCAATGAAAAGATTATTACCAGTGAATATTTTTTCCCAATAGTAACATTTTTTGGTTAAAATGGTGGGAATGTCATTAAATCCAAAATTTTAGGTATTAGACAATTCTCACCACTTTAGACAAGAACATCCTTGGACCAATGAATTCTTTTTATAATGATCCTTTTCATTTCTTATTTTTTTTTTTGTACTTAACAAAAAATTATAAATATAATAATAATATACAAAGAGTTTAATTTAGAAAAATATTAATAAATTTAAGTATTTAATTTTTTTATTTTTAATATTCAATATATTAATTATTTATAATTATATGAGTGAAAAATAATATGGGTGTAAAAATGTAATTATTTAAATTATATCCGAATTTAAGTTATTAAAAATATATTTTATACATTGAAAATATATCTTTGTCTACTCGAGATCATAATATTATTTTTTAATATTATATTATATTTTATATAAATAAATATAATGCTTATGAAAAGTATTTAAAAATAGAAGTTTAATATACTAATTATATATTAAATGTATTTTTTTTTCCAAAAGTTAGATATAAACCATTAAAATATTTCTATGGATTTTCATTCAAATATTTATAATTAATATTAAAGTTTAGTTTTAAAAAACATATATCACAATGATAATTTGGTAAAATATGAATTAAAGTATCCTTATATTTTTCCAACCAAACACTATAATTTTACATTTATGATAAACAAACTAAACAAGGTAATACAACATTCTCATTGTAATGTTATTCCCAAAAGTAATCTTACATTTAGTAAACCAAACGCTCACTAAGAGTCTCATATTTATAGAGGACTTATTCAAGTATTGAGCTACTTGTATCTTGAGGGATCTATAAAACATGGATGAAACATGCTACTCACCCAAGTTACAAGCACTAGGAGTCTCTCATATTTATAAAGGACTTATTTAAGGATTGAGCTACTTGTAAAAATTCTAAAAGCTGTTCAAAAAATAATTTAATGGAAAACCCTAGCGTACAAAACCCTAGCACGCAAAGCCTGAATGATGGTGCTCCGCCAGTGGATCCCTCCCTTATTCCGCCCGTTGAACCACCGGATAACAGTTCTGAATTTACCTCGATGGAGAGAATCAACATAGAAATCCCTAACTTATTGGAGAGATCGGGATCGCCGATTGTGAATTATCGAGCGTTGAAGAAGGGAAGGAATGAGAATTGTGATATGGGAACTGGTATGATGATTGTGGATTTTGTGGGGGAAACTTATAAAACGCCTATGATGAATGAGACTACAGATGAGGCTGGAACGGGCAATGTGTCGTATGCGGGCGTAGTTTCAGGAGGCTCTACTAAGATTAGGGTTTTGGAACGTGTCCCGAGTTTAGATGAAGTCGTTTAAGAGGGTGAAGTGAAATTGGATACAACTGGACCGATTCCTTCGGTCGAATTCTCAGAGAATATTCATGAGAGGATTGATCAAAGTATGCGCAGGTTGATCATTGTTCAGCTTCTTGGACGTAAGAATGGTTACAAAACTCTGATGGATCGAATCAATCAACTCTGGAAACCTAAGGGCCAATTCCAGGTAGTTGACCTTGATAATGATTACTACATAGTGATGTTTACGAATGAGGATGACTACATAAGGGTGCTTATGGATGGTCCGTGGATGGTGTATGGAAACTACTTGATAGTTCAACCGTGGAGTAGGACCTTTTCCACAGCTGAGATGTTCCCTTTGCAAGTTATCGTATGGGTACGTATTCCTAAACTACCTTATCGGTATTATTCGAAGGCATTATTCCGGTATATTGCTGCCGTTATTGGAAAGGTGGTTAACTTAAACAAACCTCTTATCCCGAGTATTCGGATTGATGGTGTTGTTCGACAGTTGGAATACGAGGGTCTCCAATAGATTTGCTGCAAATGTGGTATTTATGGGCAAGCCGCATAAATCTATAGTCCAGTAGAGCTTGAAGCGATTAAGGAGAGCCTGGCGAGTGCTGAAACCCAAGCTAATCAAGAGACACATAATGAAGAAGGGTCCATCTATGGACCATGGATGGTAGCAGCGAGCAAGAATCGTGCACCACAAAAAACTGTTGAGGCACAAGATAAAGGAAAATAGAAGGTGGGTCACGTGTCAGGATCCTGATTTCAAATGTTCGAGAAAGTGGAAAATGAATCTAATCGGGGGAAGTGAGGTAACACTGAACTCGACCAAGCAGGTTTCATCGATTGAGCAGGGGTTGAAAAAAAAATGATTGGCAATCTTGCCACGATGCATAAAGGATAGACCAGCGTACTGAGTTCCTCCAAGGCACCTCAAATAGATGGAATGCATCAGGATAATCAGGCTAAGAGCCAGGCTGTGGTCATTATCTCGGATAGTGCTAAGAATATCTCAGCTACCTCTCATGAAAGTGCAATGGGCAAAGGACATCATACGTCGATTAAAATTGTAGAGAATGGAGGGAGTAAGTTTCGGGGGGATACTCAACAGGGAGTAAGGAAATCTGGAAGCAACCTTAAGAGCGTAGCACAGGAAGGCATGAAAGTCAAAAAAGCTTCTGATTCTATAACTCCCCTTGCTCCGCTGCTATCGGATTGGTTCAACAGTCTTGATCAAATGAATCGAACTGCTGCCACACCTCAAGATTCTAGTGGGTCGCTACCTACGCCCAATGGTCAGGTACCTAATGTTGTTATTTCTAAAAATGTAGACATGGTTACGAGGGATTTCATCAACTAGGATAGCTCATAGGAGTTGACGAATGGAAGGGGACAAGAAGTTCCAGCTGGTAATTCAAAGCAGTAAGGTTGGTTGTAATACCCCAAATTTTTGTTAGTGACCAAAATGTAAATTTTGAAAGTTTATATACCAAAGTATAAAGTTTGGAAAAATTTAGGGACCAAAAGGGTAATTCTCTAAAAATTCAGGGACCAAAAGTGTAACTTTCAAAATTTAGCTTTTTTACCCTATAAATGAATAGTTCAAACCCAAGAATGACGTTTTGGTGGGAATCAGATTTTTGATCCGGAATTTATGTTAAAAACTATAAAGTGTTAAAGTCAGGTAAAAATTTAGTAAATCGGATCAAATAGAAAATTTGAAGGATATTAAATTAAGCTTAGAAATATTATTTTCACATTTTAAAATGATGGAAAATAACATGGACCATTGGATTTGAGAATTTATTTTCATGTTCAATTTGGATCGTTGGATGAAAATTGCTAGAATGAAATTCTTGGAAAGTTACATGGATAAAGTTGTCAAGGGTATAATATTTTGTTCATCTTTGACTTTGGAAGATGATAACCAACATGTGGCTTGGTATGGATGTAATTATCAAGTTTCATTAATGATAAAATTGTCATTTCCTAATTAAATGAATTTTAAATTCATTTAAGCTTAATAAATGACAAATTAACATGAAATTAACTAGAAATTTCATGAAAATAAGGCCCTCTTCAACCTCCATTTTGTGCTCCTCAGAAACTAGGTAAGAGAAAATTTATTTTTTATTTTTGAATAATTTCCTTTGGATTTTAGATCGAACCGTGAAATAGATAATTGTTGTATTCAAAGAGCTCTATCATTTGGTACCATTATTTCAAGCTAATCTTGCTTGAATGTTAATTTTATAAATTTTAGGGTTTATGTTCATGTTAGGGTTTTATGAATTTATGATGGATTTTGATGTTGTTGAGGCTATAGAATTATTTCCAAGCTTGTTTGATGATCAAAACCACCTAGAAAATGCTATTTTGGTTTTTGACTTAAACCCTAAATTGGGAAAGTTTGTGATTTGATGAAATTGAGTTAGGGGTTTGATTGTAGAGGTTTTAAAATGTTGAATAGAGGTTGATTTCATGCGCAAATCAAATTGAAATCAAGTGAAATCACAAAACCCTACCCCCTTAACATTCAACCTAAGCTTTTGGAAGTGAGAAAAATTATGAAAAATATACAAGGGTTATAAATGATGTAAGAAGGATCCTACAAGCTTTAGAAAGATATCTGGACCAATTTGTAATTTTGAAAAGTTAGGGGAACCTATTTGAAAATTTTGAAAAGTTATGTGGTTGATGTGTAATTATTCAATAAATGAATTACTATGCAACAAAGGGCATGGGCACCAGCATGGGATGCATATGTTATTAAGGAAGATAAGAACCACTGCTGCATGCGTGGCAAGGAGAGGAAGATTGTTGGTGTGCTTCTCGGTTGTTGGGGTTGCTCATGAGTCATTGTTGGGACTATTACTGGGCATTAAATGCCCCAAATTTGTATGGACTTCCAAAATAAAAAGTTATGTCAAATTTATTTCGTCACAATATTTTGTTAAAATAAAAATTGTGACAAATTTATTTAATCAAAATAACATTATAATAAATATTAATTTCTCAATATAAAAAATTGTGACGAAGTAATATTCTTTCACAATAACAAATTGTAACAAAATTATTTATTTATAGAAAAAAATTATAGAAAAAATTTAGTGTCGAAATAAAAGTAGTAAGAAATTAAATTTTGTTGTAACATGTATTTTTTGTCACGAAAACCTTTTTTTTATTTGATGTCATAATTTAAGTTAATTGTGACAAAATTTACTTTTTGTGATAAAATAAATATTTTATTTTAACAAATATTTTGACTATGTATTTTTCATTTAGTGACGAAATAGAAACCGTGACAAATAATTTTTGTTACCATATTTATTTTCGACACAAAAACTCTTTATATTTGATGTTAAAATATAAGTTAGTTATGAAAAAAATGTAATTTTCGTGACGAAATTCTTAATTCATTGTGACAAATATTTTATTGCGATAAGTTAATTATAGTAATAAATTTTATTGTTACAATAAATACTATAAAATGGTAATGAACAAAATTTTGTCACAATATACTTTACATGACAAGGTTGTTCTAACAAACATGGTAACAAATAAAATTAGTCAAAATAAATATATCATGACAAATTTAGTACTTTTAGTGATAAATAGTTTTGTTGAAACAATCGAAATTTCTTGTAGGCATCTTTGACTCGTATTTGGGTATGTATACGGGTTAAGGGTGTTACAACTATTGTTAATAGAGCTGTTAATTTAGCCGATTCTAGGCCTAAACCAAGCATGTTTTAAGTTGAAAAGTGTATACATGCCAATAGGATGTCATTATTACCAATATGATATTTATGTGATTTGATTGATGCCACTCCTTACTAAGGAAAGTTTATAAGTATAGTACACAACCCTTTAGGCCAGATTGCTAGGTATTTGCGTGATTCTGTCATGAATTATTTTGATACGATTGGTTGGCGTTTTTACTCTGAAATTAGATATGCTATTTATTATGATTTGGTTTTTGAATTTATATGACTTTTACATTTTTTTACAAATAGTATAGCATCTAATGCTCCGCCAGGTGTGATTTTCTTTAGATTACTTGGACAACATTTCGTTAAGTCACTGGCGGATTTTAATTTTTCTATAGGGTTCGTGACGGATGTTACGGACTATGATTATCTATCAGCTTTAAATGAGATCCCGCAGGACTTCAACATAGATTTGGCATATGAAGGACTTATTGGTTCGCCCGGTGCTACCTATAATGTACGCACCACCAAGGGATGGCATATTCATGATCCCGCTCTCTGCTACATACATCGGTTCCTTGTATATAACTATTTCGGATGTAATGATACTATATCTTCACTAAGTAAGGTTGAATTATTTTCCTATGGTGTATGTAAACCGGTGTGAAGGTAAATTTGGGTTTTTGATTCGTGCATGCCTTTGAGTGTGTTGTGCGATCCGATTGCCCATTAATTCTTGGACCTTACATTACTCACCTTGCATCTCGTTTATTGCCATTAACATTTGATTCTAATCAGTTTACTTATGATTTTGCAATGGATCTTTCGATGCTAGATGTTTGGACTCGATGGGACTCGTCACGGGAACTCCCAATGCGATACATATTGTCCCTCCCGACACGATTACCCCGCGCAATGAGCGCGTATTTCTTCAAAGGACTACTCAACCTACAGCATCGTAGGAGCAACCATCTTGATGCGTGTATGGTGAAATCCACGAGGTGCATAGCTGACTTGATTCAATCGAGACCAACATTGCCAAGATACTTTCCTGTCTTCACCCGGGCCCTTCTAGACGTAGTCGTGGCCGCAACTGACATTGATCATGGAGTATTTACACCCTCTCTCTTTTTCATTTTAATTTTGTTTATATTGGGGCAATATTATTTTAAGTTGGGGGTGGCATTATAAATCAAGTTAACTCTTGCTTATTCTTTGAAATTGCAATTGAGTTATTTCTTGATTTGAATTGTTGATAATATTGGTTGTCGATCTTTAGTTTGATTGAATTTCCTTGTGTTTCTTTGTGAAATCAATCATGTTCTTATTGAGTTTAGGATTCAAGATAGCATGGCATGACTAATTGATATAAATATTTCGTGGTAATTTCATGAATTTGTTGATTGAATTGGATGCATGACTTAGTTCAATAAGCATTTCATGTGAGTTTTGAGCTTAATGACCATATATTTTATTCTTTCTCTTTGTTTCAATTTAGTGTGCCTAACTAATTAATTGTAGTCTAGAACTTGTAACTCGATGCTTGTTGAGACTACACTTTTGATTATGATGATTTGATGTGATAGAGGCATTAGGATTAAACCCGTTTCTCTTTCTCTTCCCAAACATAATAACCTACCCTATTTATTTTCCCCTAGTGAACCACTTTAAGCCTTATATCCTTTTCCTTGATTCACCACGTTTTTAAACCCAAGCTTATTTTGGTTTCCCTCTTTTTGATTACCCTTTTTTAGGACAAATGTGAGATTATTTTCGAAAAAATAGAAAAAATTGTTTGAAAAATATAGTGCAT